CTCCCCTCCGTCCACCACACACCTCCCCTCCATCCACCACACACCTCCCCTCCATCCACCACACACCTCCCCTCCATCCACCACACACACCTCCTCTCCATCCACCACACACCTCCCCTCCATCCACCACACACCTCCCCTCCATCCACCACACACCTCCCCTCCATCCACCACACCTCCCCTCCACCCACCACACACCTCCCCTCCATCCACCACACACCTCCCCTCCATCCACCCCTCCCCTCCATCCACCACACACCTCCCCTCCATCCACCACACACCTCCCCTCCATCCACCGCACACCTCCCCTCCATCCACACCTCCCCTCCATCCACCACACACCTCCCCTCCATCCACCACACACCCCTCCATCCACCGCACACCTCCCCTCCATCCACCACACACACTGTCCCCTCCATCCACCGCACACCTCCCCTCCGTCCACCACACACCTCCCCTCCATCCACCACACACACCTCCCCGCCATCCACCACACACCTCCCCTCCATCCACCACACACACCTCCCCTCCATCCACCACACACCTCCCCTCCATCCACCACACACCTCCCCTCCATCCACCACACACCTCCCCTCCATCCACACCTCCCCTCCATCCACCACACACCTCCCCTCCATCCACCACACACCCCTCCATCCACCACACACCTCCCCTCCATCCACCACACACCTCCCCTCCATCCACCGCACACCTCCCCTCCATCCACCACACACACTGTCCCCTCCATCCACCGCACACCTCCCCTCCATCCACCACACACACTGTCCCCTCCATCCACCACACACCTCCCCTCCGTCCACCACACACCTCCCCTCCATCCACCACACACCTCCCCTCCGTCCACCACACACCTCCCCTCCATCCACCACACACCTCCCCTCCATCCACACCTCCCCTCCATCCACCACACACCTCCCCTCCATCCACCACACACCTCCCCTCCATCCACCGCACACCTCCCCTCCATCCACACCTCCCCTCCATCCACCACACACCCCTCCATCCACCGCACACCTCCCCTCCATCCACCACACACCCCTCCATCCACCGCACACCTCCCCTCCATCCACCACACACACTGTCCCCTCCATCCACCGCACACCTCCCCTCCGTCCACCACACACCTCCCCTCCATCCACCACACACACCTCCCCTCCATCCACCACACACCTCCCCTCCATCCACCACACACCTCCCCTCCATCCACCACACACACCTCCCCTCCATCCACCACACACCTCCCCTCCATCCACCACACACCTCCCCTCCATCCACCCACACACCTCCCCTCCATCCACACCTCCCCTCCATCCACCACACACCTCCCCTCCATCCACCACACACCCCTCCATCCACCACACACCTCCCCTCCATCCACCACACACCTCCCCTCCATCCACCGCACACCTCCCCTCCATCCACCACACACACTGTCCCCTCCATCCACCGCACACCTCCCCTCCATCCACCACACACACTGTCCCCTCCATCCACCACACACCTCCCCTCCATCCACCACACACACCTCCCCTCCACCCACCACACACCTCCCCTCCATCCACCACACACACCTCCCCTCCATCCACCACACACCTCCCCTCCATCCACACCTCCCCTCCATCCACCACACACCTCCCCTCCATCCACCACACACCTCCCCTCCATCCACCACACACCTCCCCTCCATCCACACCTCCCCTCCATCCACCACACACCTCCCCTCCATCCACCACACACCTCCCCTCCGTCCACCACACACCTCCCCTCCATCCACCACACACCTCCCCTCCGTCCACCACACACCTCCCCTCCGTCCACCACACACCTCCCCTCCACCCACCACACACCTCCCCTCCGTCCACCACACACACCTCCCCTCCATCCACACCTCCCCTCCGTCCACCACACACCTCCCCTCCGTCCACCACACACCTCCCCTCCACCCACCACACACCTCCCCTCCGTCCACCACACACCTCCCCTCCACCCACCACACACCTCCCCTCCGTCCACCACACACCTCCCCTCCATCCACACCTCCCCTCCATCCACCACACACCTCCCCTCCGTCCACCACACACCTCCCCTCCATCCACACCTCCCCTCCATCCACCACACACCTCCCCTCCATCCACCACACACCTCCCCTCCATCCACCACACACCTCCCCTCCACCCACCACACACCTCCCCTCCATCCACCACACACCTCCCCTCCATCCACCACACACCTCCCCTCCACCCACCACACACCTCCCCTCCACCCACCACACACCTCCCCTCCACCCACCACACACCTCCCCTCCGTCCACCACACACCTCCCCTCCATCCACCACACACCTCCCCTCCGTCCACCACACACCTCCCCTCCGTCCACCACACACCTCCCCTCCATCCACACCTCCCCTCCGTCCACCACACACCTCCCCTCCGTCCACCACACACCTCCCCTCCGTCCACCACACACCTCCCCTCCACCCACCACACACCTCCCCTTCGTCCACCACACACACCTCCCCTCCATCCACACCTCCCCTCCGTCCACCACACACCTCCCCTCCGTCCACCACACACCTCCCCTCCACCCACCACACACCTCCCCTCCGTCCACCACACACCTCCCCTCCACCCACCACACACCTCCCCTCCGTCCACCACACACCTCCCCTCCATCCACACCTCCCCTCCATCCACCACACACCTCCCCTCCGTCCACCACACACCTCCCCTCCATCCACACCTCCCCTCCATCCACCACACACCTCCCCTCCATCCACCACACACCTCCCCTCCATCCACCACACACCTCCCCTCCACCCACCACACACCTCCCCTCCATCCACCACACACCTCCCCTCCATCCACCACACACCTCCCCTCCACCCACCACACACCTCCCCTCCACCCACCACACACCTCCCCTCCACCCACCACACACCTCCCCTCCGTCCACCACACACCTCCCCTCCGTCCACCACACACCTCCCCTCTGTCCACCACACACCTCCCCTCCGTCCACCACACACCTCCCCTCCATCCACACCTCCCCTCCGTCCACCACACACCTCCCCTCCGTCCACCACACACCTCCCCTCCATCCACCACACACACCTCCATCCACCACACACCTCCCCTCCATCCACCACACACACCTCCCCTCCATCCACACCTCCCCTCCATCCACACCTCCCCTCCATCCACCACACACCTCCCCTCCGTCCACCACACACCTCCCCTCCATCCACACCTCCCCTCCATCCACCACACACCTCCCCTCCATCCACCACACACCTCCCCTCCATCCACCACACCACCTCCCCTCCACCCACCACACACCTCCCCTCCATCCACCACACACCTCCCCTCCATCCACCACACACCTCCCCTCCACCCACCACACACCTCCCCTCCACCCACCACACACCTCCCCTCCACCCACCACACACCTCCCCTCCGTCCACCACACACCTCCCCTCCATCCACCACACACCTCCCCTCCGTCCACCACACATCTCCCCTCCGTCCACCACACACCTCCCCTCCATCCACACCTCCCCTCCGTCCACCACACACCTCCCCTCCGTCCACCACACACCTCCCCTCCATCCACCACACACACCTCCATCCACCACACACCTCCCCTCCGTCCACCACACACCTCCCCTCCGTCCACCACACACCTCCCCTCCATCCACCACACACACCTCCCCTCCATCCACCACACACCTCCCCTCCATCCACCACACACCTCCCCTCCGTCCACCACACACCTCCCCTCCGTCCACCACACACCTCCCCTCCACCCACCACACACCTCCCCTCCGTCCACCACACACACCTCCCCTCCATCCACACCTCCCCTCCGTCCACCACACACCTCCCCTCCGTCCACCACACACCTCCCCTCCATCCACCACACACACCTCCATCCACCACACACCTCCCCTCCGTCCACCACACACCTCCCCTCCGTCCACCACACACCTCCCCTCCATCCACACCTCCCCTCCGTCCACCACACACCTCCCCTCCGTCCACCACACACCTCCCCTCCATCCACCACACACACCTCCATCCACCACACACCTCCCCTCCATCCACCACACACACCTCCCCTCCATCCACACCTCCCCTCCATCCACCACACACCTCCCCTCCGTCCACCACACACCTCCCCTCCATCCACCACACACCTCCCCTCCATCCACCACACACCTCCCCTCCACCCACCACACACCTCCCCTCCACCCACCACACACCTCCCCTCCATCCACCACACACCTCCCCTCCATCCACCACACACCTCCCCTCCATCCACCACACACCTCCCCTCCATCCACCACACACCTCCCCTCCATCCACCACACACCTCCCCTCTGTCCACCACACACCGTGCCTCTGTCCACCACACACCGTGCCTCTGTCCACGGCACACCTCCCCTCCGCCCACCGCACACCTCCCCTCCGTCCACCGCACACCTCCCCTCCATCCACCACACACCTCCCCTCCATCCACCACACACACCTCCCCTCCATCCACCGCACACCTCCCCTCTGCCCACCGCACACTGTGCCTCTGTCCACCGCACACCTCCCCTCTGTCCACCACACACACTGTCCCCTCTGTCCACCGCACACTGTGCCTCTGTCCACCGCACACCGTGCCTCTGTCCGCTGCATGCACGTCCTTTGTCCACTACACCATCTCCTCTGTCCACCGCATGCCATCACCTGACCACCACACACACTGTCCCCTCTGTCCACTGCACGCTGTGCATCTGTCCACCGCGCCCTGTCCCCTCTGTCCACCGCACACACCATCCCCTCTGTCCACCACACGCCATGCCTTCCACTGCATACACATCCCTTGTCCACTGCACCCGTCCCCTGTCCACCACATGCCGTCCCCTGTCCACTGCACACACTGTCCCTCTATCCACCTCACCCCGTCCCCTCTGCCCACCGCCCGCCTGCCCCACCTCCTGCTCCTTGCGCAGCAGCTCCATGGCCTCCTGGAAGCGCTTCTCCTTCTCCTCCGTCTCGGCAATGGTGGCCTGGTTCTGCTCTTCGTAGGCCATGGCGACCACGGCCAGGATGAGGTTGACCAGGTAGAAGGAGCCCAGGAAGATGACCAGCATGAAGAAGATCATGTAGATCTTGCCGGCCGACCGCAGCGTCTGCAGGGGAGGCGGGGGTCAGGGCGGGCCGCACTCACTGCCTGAGCACTAGCGTGGACTTGAGGTTATTGTTCTGTCTGTCCCGGGGCTTGAACTCGGGGGCCTGGGCGCTGTCCCTGAGCTTCCTTGTGCCCAAGGCTGGTGCAGTGGTGGGCACCTGTTACGGCCACTGGTGTCGGGGCCCTGCGTGGGTCCCGCCCCCCCCTCCCATCCCACCTGCCCCTCTCCCCACCCCTCCCCTGCACCTGCTGGTAGAGACGCTCCCAGCAGTCCTGCGTCATGAGGCGGAATAGGGCCAGGAAGGCCCAGGCGAAAGAGTCGAAGCTGGTGTAGCCGTGATCGGGGTTCTGGCCCGCCTTCAGGCACCGGTAGCCCTCGGGACATGTCCTGTGGACAGACAGACAGATGGACACCCTGTTGATACATTTCGTAAGGGGTCCTCTGGGTGTGTCTGTGTGTGTGTGTGTGGGCATGCCAGTTGTGGGTCTTGAACTCTAGGCCTGGGCTCTGTCCCTGAGCTCTTCAGCTCAAGGCGGGCAACTCTACCACTTGAACCACAGTGCCACTTCCGGTTTTCTGGTGGTTCATTGGAGATTGGAGTCTCACAGTTTCCTGCCCTGGGCTGTCCTCGAATTACGATCCTCAGACCTCAGCCTCCGCAGTAGCAAGGTTGGGGGTATGGGGGTAGTGGGGCCCTCCAAAGCATTCTAGGTAAAGAGCTCAACCATCTTCAGGGCTGTATAGGTTTCCCCTGAAGATCTCTCTTCCTCTCTCCCCCCCCACCCCATGTTTCTTTACTCATTGTCTTGTAAGGTTGGGGATGTAAGTAAACAAAAGGCTGGAGGGGTGCAGCTGAGGGGCTTCGCCTGCGTTACCCAGCATCGGAGCTGTTCCCACACAACAAGACATCAGAGGTGCCATTCTTGAGCAGGTAGTTGTCTGCAAAAGAAACAGGATGGTGAGGGACCTGTGCGGCCCAGCTTCTTTGGAGGTTCACTACTTTTATTGGGGGGGGTGGGTTCTGGTGGTTCATTGGAGAGAAGAATCTCATGGACTTTTCTGCCTGGGGCTGGCCTCCAACTTCGATCCTCTAGATCTCAGCCTCCGGAGTAGCTGGGATGACAGGCCTGAGCTGAGGGCAGCCAGCTTGCCTCTGCACGTCTGTGGCTAGAGATATAGAGGGCTGGAGGCTCCCTGGGGAGGCCTGGAGAGGTGAGGCCCAGGCCTTGATGGAGTCCTGGCACTCTCCCCCCCCTTGGTTGGAAAGCCCGTGCGCGCACGCGCGCGCACACACACACACACACACACACACACACACACCTGGGTCGTTGAGGTAGAGGTCCAGCGACTCCCACACCAGGCCCTGGGCCTCCACAGAGCCGTTGGTGTCGCTGAGCAGCGTGAAGTTGCGCACCACACTTGTGCCTCAGGTTCCCCATGAAGAGCTGCAGGCCGATGAGCGCGAACACGCTCAGGCAGAACACCGTGAGCACCATCACGTCCGCTAGCTTCTTCACCGACTGGATCAGCGCCCCCACGATGGTCTTCAGGCCTGTGCGGGGCGGGGCCGGGCCCGGGGTCACCCCCAAATCTGGGCTCGCCCCAAACCCCACCTGCCCCCATGCCCTCCTCCTTCCTTCCTCCCTCCCTCCCTCCATGCTTGTTTTGTCTGTCTGTCTGTCTGTCTTTGCCTGGCTCTATTTCTTAGCTTTTTCTTCTTCTTTTGGATTTGCTCAAGGCTGGCCCTCTCCCACGTGAGCCACGCTTCCCTTCCTCCTGGCTTGTTGCTGGCTCCTTGGAGATGAGCGTCTCGTGGATTTTTTTCCCCCACTTCCTGAGCTGACTTTGAACCGTGATCCTCGGGCCACAGCCTCCTCCCAAGGGCTGAGGAGGCGGGCATGAGCCGGCACCAGGGGGCTGGGGGACTCCTAGCTATGACAGGGAGATGAAGAGGGACACAGCCGTTTCTGCTCATAGCTGTGTGTGTGTGTGTGTGTGTGTGTGTGTGTGTGTGTGTGTGTGTGTGTGCGTGTGTGCCAGGCTTGGGGGCTGATGGATGTTCTAAGGATCTGCTTTGGCTCAAGCCCCTTAGAAGAGAGGTTCAGAGTCAGGGAAAGAGTTGACATTGATTTTCCTTTTTTCTCCCCTTTCCCTCTTGGCCCGAGACTGGGGACTTGAACTCGGTACCCGATGCCTTTGCTCAACAACTAACCACTGGGTACCCACGGAGCCCCGCCCCATCCCACCAGGCCCCGCCCTGTCCCGCCCTCTCACCCAAAGCGGAGGCTGTGATTGGTTAGTGGCAACCACGCCCCCTCACACACACAGAGCCCACCCTCAGCTCCCTGCAGGAAGCCAGCAGCAGCAGACAGGTGAGTGACAGACAGTAAGTGTGCGCGGGGTCTCCAGAGCCCACACCCAAGGCCGGGGAGGAGGAGGGGGGCAGAGGTGGGGGCAGGCGTGAGGGACACCTCAAAGCTGGGTCTCGCAACACATTGCCACCACCGCCATGTCTGCCAGGGGGAGTTGGGGGGGGGGGGGATGTGCAGGTGCTAGGCTCTCTGTAGGCAAATCTTCCTGACAGATGTTGGCAGCTGCCTGGGCGGTGTGTGTGTGCATGTGTGTGTGTGTGTGTACGCATGCGTGTGTGGTT